GTAGCTTTGTTCCTTATTAACAGAATTATAGACTACTGGACTTGTTTTTTCTTTTCAGTTTTTATTTGAAGAATAATTAAGCAGTCGGGTTTTTTGATTTTTTAAATTTACCTTTTTTATTTCGCACTTTTTAGTTAGTATTTTAAGACGTAATATACCGTAGTCTTGTTACTTCAGTAAGGGAATTAATATCGCGGGAATTATTAAGTACCTTGCGTCGGTCTAAAAGATTGATTTATTAAGACATATAAAGACTTTACCAGCGGGATCAAGGCTACAGATGGGCATCAATTTTCGCAAAAATGTGTGAAGTTAAATCAAGTCGTTACATAAATATCTCTAATGTATGTAAATTTTATAGTAAACTAGCACTTACTCAAAAAGTCATCTTTTGTTTATGTTTTTTTTTAATAGTTTAGCAGTAAATATAAAATTCATTTACTTTTATTCGTCGACTATTTAAAATTGGCAGTGGCTGCATTGTCATGTCAATGCCGGACGTCTAAGATTGTGATATACACAAATTCAGTGTCAGTCCCTAGTCTCATAATTTGATATACCTACATAATTCACAGAAACCCAATATGTAGATGCCAGAAGTTAACTTCAAATGTTTTTAATCACCCTATATACAAAACCAACCAATGACGTTTATGTCGCAGCTTGAAGAAAGCAGTAATTCCCGTCTGTTGTTTTGGACAATGGTGGCAACTGCCTTAGATCACTAAATTAAATAATTATGCAATCACCAAAGCAAAGTTTATAATATTTGATTAAACTAAAGGCGCATAATAAAATTTTCATAACATTAGGTAGAGCACCATAGCAATCTCATTTATTATCAATTTATAGTTCTCTTTGTAGTTTTCTTTTAAAGCGTTCACATTTAACAGGTTAAAGACTTTGTGTTCGACCCTTTTTTATTGGTAGTGTAAAGCTCGAATGAAGAGTACTCCCAGTAGTGCAATCATGGCAATTATTTTCCAATTTTTTTTTTGTTTAAAAAAATACCGAATAACGTATCACTGTTAAGCACTTATGCTAAGTAACTTTTACAAATATAATCAAAATAAACCTATTACTTACTTTATTTTTAAATCTTTTTTTTCAATTAAATACTTATCTTATCCTAACTATCTATACTAATATTATAAAGAGGCAAGATTTGTATGTTTGTAACAAATAATCTGTCAAACTACTGAACCGGTTTCAAATATTAATTCATCATAAGGTAGCTACATTATTTATTATAACATTTTTCTTTATTTAAATACATTTTGTCCGAGTGACATAGGCTATATTTTATCCCGATAAATAAATTTCGCCCGTACTAGTAAATATAATATAATATTATAGATGCGAAAGTGAGTTTGTTTGTTGCGCTTCCGTGCCCTAATAGCTAAATCGAATATAATGAATTCCCATATAGAAGTAGATGGGAACTTGGTTCTTAGCTACAACATCGCAATACTTATAGGCGTAGGGTGATGAAAGGGGTGATTTACCTATAAAAATCTACATTATTTACTTTGAATTTTGCAGAATTATTACAAAACCAATATTATCGCGAGCTGATAAATACAGGGATTTCAATAAGTATGTACTTACTAGCGAAAAATGGGTTATTTGTTATATTAAGTTAACTTTTTTTGTAACATTAAGTGATATCGTTAAAAAAATGAAAAACAGTAAAATTCTGAGTTTCTCATTAAAATTCAATAATCATAAATATCCATTATGATAATATATTTTTCATCATTTAATAAGAAGGAACTGTATCACAGTTTTATTGTTAGTACTTCGTATAGGATCAGATACTGCGAATACCCCATTTTTTTTTCTTTTACATAGTACACCGCGCTATCACTTTGTCATCGTTGTAACTTTTTAAATATTTGTCGAAATGACATAGTGTAAAAAGCAAAGTTTATTGTCTTTAAATATCAAAAGCGATAAAAGTATTTGTTTTGATAAAAAATGATTTGTTAATACAAAATGTGCATTTTGGAAATAGATATCAAATAATATTTTAGTTTTGATTCACTATTTTACCGATAATGGCTTACACATTAAAAATAGATATATGATGTCAGGGACTTTTTTTTAGAACTATTTAGGACACACATTTCACTCTACATTATATTCATGTAACTTTTATTGTTTTTGCAGTGCAGGCCAAAATGGCTCGCAGATGGGAGATTTTTTCCGTCTTATGTGACACTTATTGTTATATATTGGCCAATTCACTCAATAACTACATAAATTATTATATATATGTAATTATCATATATGAGCTATATTACTGTTAAGTTTCATTAAAATCCATTCAGTATTTTTTAGGTGAAAGAGTAACAAAGATCCATACAAACGTAAGATTGAAATTAAAAGCGTAAGTGGTTAATATACAACTTTAAGGCGTTGTAGATCCTAAACAATCATATAAAATGAAAAATGGTGTTCGGAACCTAAATATGATTTTTGATTATCTAGACAGTGATACCCCACTCGACATATTTTATTAACTTATTTTTTTTTACTTCGTCACAATATGGCGCCTAATTTTGTCCATATTGAATTTTCATTACTATCATATCTTTAGTAGCACTCCCATGATTGAGACGAATCGATTGATGTATGAATCATCAAAATCGGTCCAGGCGTTTGGTCTCTAGTGTGCCACAAAGGAACAAACATACATATATAGACTGTTAAACACATAACCCTGTCTGGGCGTCGCGCTTCGCGCTCTTGCATTGCGCAGCCGGGTAAAAAGGGAGAAAAAAATAGCCCTTGCTGAGTTTCTTGCCGGTTCTTCTCAGTACAAAGTCTCCCGCCGTAGATTTACGAACCGATGGCGTAGCGTTTGACTTTCACAAGAGCTTGTAACAGCCTTAAGGTGGTCAGGGTAGGTGCAGTTAATTCCTGTCTGTATTGGACTCATGAGATTATGATATTAATGTATTATTCAGGGTCAGCAATGCGCTAATGTGCTCCCTGTGGTACCATAAACCTCTCTAAATCTACTTACGGGGTGGGGGTCCCACGACTAGGGTAGCCTTTCTAAGGGCGAATAAAGTACATATTTTATATATTACCATTGAATATAGTTAGTCGCGAACATTAATTAGATCACATTATACAACATTGGAATTGTGTTGTTTAGATAATTTTGACCACTCTGGACGGTTCAAACAAAAAGATAATCTTACAGCGTATAAAAAAAATGTGTACCTGAGATAATTATGATCAGCCTTCATACTACGATTTTTATGAGGCGGACTGTACCTCCTGAAAAAATGCATTTAGCAATTTGTTCATTAGTAAATTTATATCACTTGTTCGAAACGCGGATCGGTTAAGAGGGGCTTTACAGCGCAGGTGGTTAGCGTATTCGACCTGCGATCGTGAAAGTTAACCAACTTTCGCAATGGTTGGTCATTGGATGGATGACCAAAAATTTATAGGAAAGCCTGTGCCCCAGCGGGGACATTTATAGGCTGATGATGATAATAACGCGGGTGTTTTCAGTATAAATATGTCATAGCATATCACACCTCAGCGATACCTCGTGCGGCTTTGTTGGTGGTGCTCATACGGAAGCAAAACCAACTAAGAAATATGGATTTCGAAGTAGTTATTTACAAGTTTTATTGTCTGTTCGATAGCTCTCATTGTTGATAGAGTTTTCCACCATTATTGGTTTCGTGTTCAAGCGATTTGGGTATATTGCTTATATATCACACGGCTAGTCGTATTTGACAACTACCTATCTCTCCTTTCCATTCGCTTCAGAGACTGATAAGGTATACTACTGCTGTCAAGTTAACAAATACCAAATACGAATAGCTATGTCAAGTGCTTACAGTAACTTGCTTAAGCATTAGTTCCGACGTCTTCCCGATTCTTTCTTATAAGTTTATAGTATTTTATTCAGGTCAACGAGCTTATTGTCCACGGTTTACTCCTTTAAGCAGTTGTTTGCGTTTCTGTATCGATCGATAAGGAAACGTATTTCCACGGGATTTAATATTATCACCATTTTTTGTGTGTCGCCTTTGTTTCGCTGATAAGGTTTCTTTGAAAGAAGATGGAATTTAGTTTACACTAATATACGGTTTTTATCATGTTTGTCACAATTTTCGCAGTGAATCATCGTTTCATTATAGACGTAATATCTGGAAATATTAAATAAGTGTAGGATATTATCTTGGGCAGCACTACCTATTAATTAGATCCGATTATCATGCGTCCACTTTACTCGGAACCACAGAACTCTTTAAGTGATTTGTTTATATAATATAAATAGACTTCATAGAAAGAATAATAATTTGACTTTAAAGTACTTTGGTCTTAGTAAAGAAAATTCATTATTTCTTAATTTTTTGTGTTTTTCTTTTTATGAAATCTGTTTCTATTTTTTTTTTTTTACTTTTTATAAGCAACAGCAACACCAACTTACTTAATATAGATGTAAAAAACCAAATGTGTACGGATGTATTTAAAAAGTTCTGTTGTTTATCTCCGAAAGTATTCATCAGATCTTCACTAAATTAGTATGGGACCATCTCGCTAACAAACTCTTTCAAACAAAAAAGAGTGTTCAAAATCGATCAAATATAAGAACCATCTCCTTTTCGTAGTCGTTAAAAAATAAATAAAGCGCGCTTAATAGCGTGATTGCACTTGGTCGTTAGCCCGAATACGAGTGCCAAAGGAATTCGGGTAAACGACTTAGTCTAAATTAACGGAGTCAAGTACACCCGTATTCGGCTAGTTTTGGTTACCCGATACTTAGCAATTTATACTTGCAGTATAAATTGCTTCGGGTCTCGAAAAACTAAAACTCGAAATCCGAGTAATGTCTTTCGTGCACCCGAATACGGGCTAGAGACCGAATGTAATTGAGCCATTATACCCGTTCAAGTGTTTTTATCAAACCTCCTTTGTTATGAAGCATGCCAAATAGTACTAAATCTTTTTCTTCTATATTGTCCGTTTAGCGACTTCGAACAACAACTATCGCCGTTCCTGATCCAGAACTCTTGCGATGAGGAAGCCGGCTCCACCACGGGTCTGGAGCCCACCAGCCCAGGGAACGCTCAGGACGTCGTCATCGTGGACACGGACACGTCTAACAGCTCCAACGAACTCGTCGAGGCCACCTTCGATGTGTTGGACTTCGAGCAAAACGTCGTACCAGGGTTCATCAATTCTAATACATTCCAAAGCCCGGGTAAGGTTTTATTGTTTTCTTTATTTTGCTACGTCTTAATACTTTATAATTAAGTATATTTTATAGACATGATTTATATCGAAGCCTTTAGGCTAAGTTCATATGACCGCGCGGTACAAGATCAAAACAAACTGATATTATCGTCCACATAATCAACCAGTACCGACCCTTGCGCAAGATCTTGAATGAACGAAATAGATGCAGGACGCATAGATGTCAGACTGGAAGCACGTACATACGTTGTCATGTGAATGCTCCAACCACGCGGTCATATAAACCTAGCCTCATGCGTGCTAAACAATACATTCATCATCATCAACATTCAACCATACAACGCCGAGTGCTGACCATAGACCCAACAATACATTAAGGCGAAGAAATTAACAGTAAACGATCTTAATACAGTATCACGCTCTGTTTCAAATTTAGTTTCTAATTATAGAGGATCCAATATTGTGGCACACAGTTAATAACACAATTAAATGAATCACCAGTCTGAACTTTTAGTTGTTCTATTATGTTTTTTTTTCTTCATTTTTTTCGTCAATCGATTTTGATGTTGTTGATGATTATATTTGAATTTAATGGCCGGCGCAGACGAGGGACATTTGGCAGCGGAGAACATAAGTCCCTGAATCCTGAAAAAGTGTACGCCGAGGACTTGTCACGGACGTAACGCACGCGATAAGCGAACATTAATTTCTTGCCCGAATATTCAGAATATTCAGACAGCGCACTTTAGGTTGTTGTTTAGGTTTCTTGAAAACAGGTACATATTTCGCTTTTCTTTATTTTAGGCCATGCAACTTTGCGTATGTCTCACAGGTGGTCAACAACTTTCTGTTTTAAAATATAATACTGGGTCCACCTCTTCAATCTGGGGGCCATTCGCCTAGCGGAAATGCTTTGGAAAACGCTAACGCTTACGATTTCATTTTGTTATTTCTAGCCGCCTGAGGTTTTTTCTTTGCATTGGTAATAACAATATTAAAAAAAATAAGCGTGAGGTATTTGAAAACCTTCGGCGGTCAGAAATAACAAAATAAAATCGAAAGCATTTCCGTTAGGCGAATGGCCCCCTGGGGGCCAATCGCCTAACTGGATTGCTTTGGAAAACGCTATCGCTTACGATTTCATTTTGTTATTTCTAGCCGCCTGAGGTTTTCAAATGCCTCGCGCTCTTTTTTTTTCTTTTGCATTAATAATAACAATGTTAAAGAAAATGAGCGTGAGGTATTTGAAAACCTTCGGCGGTTAGAAATAACAAAATGAAATCGTAAGCGATAGCGTTTTCCAAAGCAATCTGGTTAGGCGATTGGCCCACTGGTCGATCGCGTAACCCGTACTAAAGTTCACTGTGTGTTATAGTTATATAGTTCACGCGTACCTTATCCTATCCGGTTTCTCAGTGATTCAGGCGACTATTTTGTACGCGTGAATTTTAATTCCTTGTGTGCGTTACTCGATGCAGCGATGTATTTTGGCAGACAAAAAAGTACGCGGACAAAACATGAAAGACTAGTACAAATTATAGTTTGTTACAATAAATAACACAATCTCATGTCAATAAAACGTTATCGCAATAATGGATCAAGGAGTGTCCCTTAATATAATTAGCTATCTATTAATTACTTCTGTTGTGGAGAGACTGCACCCACGCAATGCCCTCTATATCTACACTAAAGTACAATTAACAGAATAGATTACATTTCATGCAATAAAGCACTTTTATGTCTTTATGATAAACTTGACTGGAATATTGAGGTGGTTATTAAAAAATTGGTAATTAATGTACCTATGTAAAATGCGATCGTTTATAATAAGCTTATGAAGGAATTAAAGCGTCCTTGAGCGATTGAAATAAATAAATCTAAATACCACATCGATATCCGTGAAATAACATGATTTATTTTAGTTCCTAATAAGATTTATCATCTTAGTGAGATAATTATTTTTAAATGGGATGATGACTAACTCTTATTTCTTCGTTTTTCAGATAGATTGTTTGAAAGTATTGGACACGTATTTTTTTCTTTTTTCACATAATCAAAACATTACAGAGATAGATATATTGATTTGAAATGTCACATGACGTCACCTCTTGGTACAATGTGTCATTCCTATTCCTTTCGCTCCCCTTTGTATCATGGTATTCAACTCTTGTATTGCAGTTTATTTCATATTTCATTGTTTAAGTATTTTTCACTTATTATTGTTTTATTTGGCCTAGTTGTGATCTGCTCCTTTGACTGTTTCATGTACCTTTTAAAATAAGAATAAAAATTTGTCCTCGAGTCTATCAAAATCACAAAACGCAGAAAGAGGTTAGAAGGGCCTTGTGGGCGGTGCTGGCGCGCCCCAGTAACGTGTGACCAAATGCTCATAACTTGACCAAAACTTGATTCTGATTGCGTCGTTGGTCGTCGTCGGGTGTGAACGCTGATTGGTTCGATTGTTTGATTGACTATGTTCTATTAGGTGGAAGTGTAGTGGGGACGAGCCGGCGACATCGGCTCCCGTACAAACGGTACATGATTTCTCCTCTAACCTCTTTCTGGGTTCTGTGATCAATAAGACCATTGCATTCCTGTTCTTTCCTGTGAAAAAGACCGTTTTAAGAACTCTTTATTGTAAGAATTAGATATGTATAAGAAAATTCTCATTCTTATAGATATGTTTGGAATTGTAAATAATGCCATAATACATTCATTTAGAGTAGTGAAATGAAGTGTTTCGCTTTATCATTCTAGGCAACAATCGCACTTTACGCTACAACCTCGTTGCGTAATATGATACTGATAATTCGATTAAAAATAAGTAGAGGTTATTAGGTGGGTTAGGCGGTATAAGAAATTCAGATATCACTTTATAATTTGCTAGTATTCTAATGCATGCATTTATTTTGATGATATTGTATTTTTTGTTAATAGTTTAGTTTATGATTTAACTAAACTTTTTCACTCAAATTTTGAATATCATTAATCAACTGTATAGGTACATTATTTAATAATAAAATTCCTATGAGTAATATTCTGTCTTAAAAATATATATGTACATTATTATACACCTTTATCATTTCTCGTTTTTATCTTATTTACTGGCGTCTTTGAAGTATTTCTCAATGTGACTCAATACACTTGTGCAAATAATTAAATACCTAGCTACGGAATTTTAAACTTATATTATTATGAAATGGGACTGAACTATTATTGTGTGAAATTCAATACAACATAATTATTGTTTGAAGGACACTATAAAATATAGCGTACAATAATATTTCGATGATTAGAAAACAGATGGCATCTTTCGTTAGTGTTCATGTCTTCATAATGGAAATAGTTTCTAAATATTTTATGAAGTACGTAATTTTTGTTACAGAGTGGGAATGTCAACGTTGTCCAAAAATGTTATTATAAATATTTTATACTAGCTGTGCCCCGCGGTGCTACCCGCGGTTTATTAGGGATATTTTCCCGCAGTAAAACGTAGCCTATGTGTTAATCCTGGGTGTCAACTAACTCCGTACCAAATTAATTAAAATCGCTCCAGCCGTTTAGACGTGAAGAAGTAACAAACATACACTCACAAACTTTTGCCTTTATAATTTTAGTGTGATTTGTAGGTTAGTTGGTTGTGGCATCAATATTATCAGCAATCAATATTCCACGTCAGCACTAAAGAGTGTTCCCGTAATACCGAATACAACATTTGACTTGCACCGATAATGGGGCAAACGTACTAACGAACAGTATCTATAGATAGTGTAATTTGCACCATTGTGATGCTACGTAAAATATAAATGTGGTTATATACTTATGTACATATTTATATTTGCAAGTTATATTTTAAAATTACAATTTTATATAACTGGAGTGAATTCTCGTGTGAATGAGTGAAACTTTTATTGCACATTAGTGATGTAACGAATCTTCGCATTCGCGAATATTCGCATATTTTTGAATATTCACATTCGCATTCGCAAAATCTCTGCGGATGTTTTGCGATTATCAATATTAGAAAAAAACAATTTGAAGAAGTTGTAGTTCTGCCTTTCCTTGAATATTCATTGTTACACAGTTTGCATTTAGCTCGTTCAGCATCGCAAAGTGTGAAATAAGTCCATGTTTCACTAGAATTCGATTTACTCATGTTAATAAATCACTATTACCACTCACAATCACTAACCTCAAAATTCACTTGTTTTGTTTACGGAAAGACCGGTTCGAGCGGAATGACACTTCAGTCGGATAAGTTCATATCAACTCGGCAATTCGAACGAGACTGCCACCATGCCATAGACAATTGGCGCCAATTTAAAAAAAAAACTAACTATTCGCATTCGCGAATGTCGGTACCAGGCATTCGCATCCGCATCCGCATTCGCATTCGCGAATGTTCAAAATTGACATTCGTTACATCACTATTGCACATATTCGTGGATTTGGGGCTTCTTTGTTTATTCGACATTCATTTGTTTTTTAAATATTATTTTTTATGACTGGGAAAGGCAGGAGAAATAGTGTATTCATATTAATGGTGCAAACGAAATCAATCAGTTTCATCTGCACCATTAATGGTACAAGTCATTGGTGCATTCGGTACAAAACAGTGTTTTATTCGCAGCATGTACATCTGTCATCCATTCTAATAAACACATTTTCAGATATTTGAAAAAAGAAAACACTTTATATTACCCGATTCATAATTTACATTCGAATTGTAATGGGATTGTTTCTATGAATAGTTCTTAAAATGATTGTAAGAAAATACTTACTGCTGTAACAAAAACACGACAGTATTGTCGCGCCATTGAGCCGTTTCATGTTGTGCTTAGACAATCTGCGCTTAGACTATGGGTATATTCCATAATATATACCAGTATACTGGCCAGTCCTAATGAGGTCATGGATAATATATGGAAATATATTGGCCAATGCACTGACGTCATAAATCGACGAAATATTAAAAATAGTGCGAATAAAGAAGATTTATTATTCACCTCATCAATTAAAAGGAATTCTTTTTGTTCGGATGCCATTATTATCTTTAAATAAAAAAAAGAAATAAAATTCGAATGCATCTCACGTACGCTCGGTCATACGTCATATTCGTTTTCCCGGTAAAAATATGGTAGCATACCAGTACAATATGGCGTCGGATTCGTGACGTCATTACCACTGGCAAGTATACCGATGTACATTTCGGAATACACCCTATGACTTTTAGTAGAAGACTGTACCTATCTGCAACAAAACAAAGGCTGACTTTAAACGGCCATTAAAAGCGAGTATTGTAATTATGGAATAATGACAAAATTACAAGGTAAAATTAAAGCGTGTTGACTATTAAGTCAATGTCAAATAAGATAAATTGTAGTTCAAAGCTAATTAAATTTGTTAGCATTTTGGTTGACCTTGCTAAAATTATGAATGCTATGTATTTTGTGTTGTTATAGGCAAAACCGGTAGGAAGCGTCGTCTGTCGCAAACTCCACAGGTGGTCGTCCATCCGAAAGTACAAAAGCCATCTGTTCGAGTCTCCGCCACCTCCGTCCAGAAACCGCAGCTGGTGGTGAAGGCTCAGTCGGAGAAGCCCGTCAAAGTGTCCAATGTCCAAGTTTTGAGTGCACCAACTAAAGTATACTCCAAGCCCGTGGAGACTGTAGCTCCGCAGCGGAGGGTGATAAGAGTTGCACCCATGGCTGGCAACCCTCGCTCTATCCTTCTACCAGTCACAATCAAAGATATGAAAGACCTCAAGTCGATCAAGATTATCAACGCAGCCGATCTCAAGAACGCATCCAACATCAAACTGGCGGCCGCCAATCTCCTATCGCAGAGCAAACTGCACGATCTCAAAGTGGAATCCCGCAATGATTATGATTACGACAACGCCGGCAATCATTGTGGTGAGCGATAAATTACTTTGTTAGAAGTTTCAATAACCCCCAGTATCGCTGATTGAAATCAATTGTCATAGCATTCACACTGTTATTTTAGGCATTTAAGCTTGCATTCATACAGCAAATCAATCCGTTTATAGTTCGTATTGTAACTGTTGTAGGCGGACCGCGCGTATCTTTAAAATTTATACATTCGAGTGTAAATTTTCCTGAGTAAAACTTGTTTAGAAGCCGGTTTTTTAAAGCTTTTTTATAATAGAATACCAGATTGCGGCGCGTTGATGCCGGTAAAACACCACGTGTGACCAGTCTCACGTATGCGTATTCCATTTATCATATTACATAAATATGCAAATTGATAATGAAATTAATTTTTAGTCCTAAACGCTATGTAAGCCGGTGAAAGTATTAATGATTCATCATTCGGTTGCACTGTTACTATTTTTTAGTACAGTTTGTCACGAGATATTGATAGTTTGGAGATTTCTTATTTCTCAACTAACTCATCATCTCTCCTTACTAATCATACTATTACATACATGATTGGTTCACCTGTCTATTATCTATTTTTCTAATGATCCGTGCTTAAGAAAACTAAAGGAATATTGAAATTCGATATTTTAATATTTATTTCTTTTTCATATTCTAGGCCCGTAAATAAACTCGCTACGAGAGTATTGAACGAAAACATTCGATTAGTTGAGCACGTTTGTTGACTCATTACATATATATTCTGCATTAGGAGTCAGTGTAGGGTACCGTTACGAGAAGTACCACGTCATTGGATGGTGACCATTAGTCAACCGTTTTCCTTGTCTACTGACTTAACAGCAACTTTGTTTCGTAAATCATATACAATCTCGGAAAACTCGTACATTTTATTATAGGTTTTATTATATCGAAAATAAAAAGTATACTTAAAAAGAAACAGAAATAAAATTCCTAGTTACATTTTTCTCTAAAAGATTAGAAGCTAAAATGTTTGTAACATAATATGAAAATCTTGAACAAAAATTGAATATTTACACATCCCAGTAAACTTCTCAGGCATCGACTATATACAAGAAAGCCTGCGCAATAGCAATTTTACATACAAAAACATCTATTCTTTTTATCTGTGGTTTTGTTCAAGAAGTTTGCCGTTACTTATACCAAGGATCGCGATCATAATGAAAACTTGGCTTTCCGTGTAGCCAAATCGGAAATCGAATCTAGTACCTCACAGATAGAGAGGACGCCAAGATGCCTCACCTCTCTGCTACGAAAGTTGATTAAATGTTTCGACTTATTAACTCATATTTTATTGCGCGAACCTTGCTGCATGTTCGTAGGGTAAAAAACCATATTCTTGCTGCTTAAATAATTATTTTTCCCCTAGATGACTCAGGCAGCGAACGCAGCGAAGATGACGAGGAAAAAGACAGCCAGATCAACGACGGAAAGAATGGCTATCCCCGTCTCGTTCTTACCGCCGAGGAAAGGCGTCTGCTAGCAAAGGAAGGAATCACCCTCCCTACCAGCTACCCTCTCACGAAACACGAGGAGCGCGAGTTGAAGAGGATCAGGCGCAAGATCAGGAACAAGATCTCCGCGCAAGATTCTAGGAAGCGCAAGAAGGAGTATGTTGACGGACTTGAAGATAGGTAATTAAAAAAATCATTAATACTCAATACTTAGTTTTCTATATTTTAACTAAGTTTTTAGTTTTCTGGAGTACTTTCTACAAGTATTTTATAAGAATTAAAGCAAGTTTTCGCCTCATTTTAGTTCAAACTAGTGGCCCGCCCTCACTTCGCCTAGGTGTAGAGCTGTAGTGTAGGTAGACTATAGTTTTTGTTCTCAGGCTTGTTGAGATTTTCATTATAGAAATAACACGAATTTCGCCATGTGGATGTTTTACTGTGAACGCAACGCGTTGTGAGCTATTTTTCCGCTCACTGAACGTTCATAAGATAATTTTAGAGGTAGTAGGGCACAGCGGATTTTCCTCTCAAATTGGAGCGCCAGTCCGGGGAAGCAAATTCCACCTTACAGAAGACAGTAAAATAAATCTACCTTTTGGTAGTGTTGTGTTTCTGCTGGTGTGTAGATCTAGGGCACCGTGGGGTAGGGGTTTGGGTTCAGACCGGCATGATGAGGATGGCTGAAGTGGCACACTTTCTGCCGCATCATCTATCTTCGCGACTGGACTTCACTTACCACCAGGTGGGGTAATTTGTTGCATCTTGTATAAAAAAAAATGCTACAACTTTAATATAAAGATTTTAAAAACACTAAAATCTTTGCTTTTCCGTTTTTGCCCTATCTTTGTAATTTTTACTACCTATCTAGTATTTTTGTACGTAAGTTGCTTTCCCAAGCAGGTATTCTAAATCGAGCAAACGATACTGTACAAACCATTTTAATTATATTTTATTAAGTTTGCATTCCGAGTCGTTGCACTCTCAAACTGCTGACACAGTTGACCCACTAATTGGTTTTAAGAACAATATTCTACATTATATGACAGTGCAATAAATTCATTCACATCATATTGACATATTTTAATAATTATCTCCCGACGATCGTCCCGTGACTAATTGACATATTGGCAGTCATTAGGGTCCTAGTAACGGCCCCTGCAAATACAATGTTGCTATGCTTTTTCATCTCGGTCACCTACATATTTTGACGGGTTATCATTTAAAAACTACATTCGATTGCAATCACTGTTTCTGTTATTTCAAACATCAATAACTCGCATAGCTTTGAGAAATAATAATACTGAATGAATTGTTTCGTTCCACTCCAGTTACAAACGATAACATTAATATAAGTAATGTACATTATGATGAAGTTACTACTATTTTTATTAACTACATCATTAAAGTAGTTATTGTGTTTATTCTATATTATAACTATTGATAACAAAATATTTCTTGTTACAGAGTAAAACAGTGCACAGCGGAAAATCAGACATTAATTAGGAGGATAAAGATCCTTCAGTCCCAGAACCAATCGCTCACGGCACAACTCAAGAGATTACAGGTAATTGCTATCACACAACGCTTTGTTTATGATAAAACCAATTATGTTGTGACCTTGTTTGTTTTGTTTGACAAATATAAATCTTATTACTACGCTATGGACGAAATTACTATTAATTTTATGTAATCGTAATTTAAAGTTTTCTTATTACAAAGTAAGCACTATAAGGCTTGTGTTATGGGATACTAGGGTAACGGATAGAATTCATATACTGTACATATATAAGTATATCTTAATAGAAATACATATTAAACATCCATGACTGGAGTACAAATGCTCGTATTCATCACACAAACATTTGCCCCCACCGGGATTTGAACCCGGGACCTCTCGAGTCTGCGACACCATGAAACCCGGCGTACAAACCACTCGGCCACTGAGGTCGTCAAAGATATAGATATAAAGTCATTTGTTGATATTTTAACTTATTCTAATTAATAAAAAATATTAATCAAATACAAAAACGTTAAATAGTCTCCAGAAGTCAGGTATCGTTTGCTTATGCTTGATTAAAAACGCAATCATAATCAGGGCTTGTTAACCGGTTAATTTTTAAACCTAAATCAGTATCAAGTACATTAGGAGCGTTTTATTTAGGTGTGGCTCTACCTTAACCTTAAAAAAACCCGCGGGTTATAAAGGGTTTTATTTCGCTCTTACTGACGGCATCGCCTTCGCCGTTTCAATTCAAATTTATAATGATTTTATGTCAGTTTCTTTCCAACTACAGAGCGAGTGAGTGAAGTAGTGTGTCGGCACACAACTACAAAATGAATAATTGACTCACTAGACGCTAGCAAACGTGTCAATAAATGCATCAATCTCTGAGCATTAACAAGTTGTGACTTGTTTAGTTCAAACAAAACAAACTTCAGGCGATGCCGACGCGTGCACTGCACATGTCGCTCTGGATTAAACCGGTTTATTAAGGTTTTAGGTACCGCTTTCATTTCGGACGCGCTCCGAACGAAACCTTTACTAAAAACCGGTATTAACCTTTATTTACCGGAATTTTCAAAACCGATTACAAGCCCTGTTTTTGCATTGGTCAGTGCATTCGCCCGGATAGCGAAGAGTGCAGGCTCGAGTCCCGTCTGCTGCCTGGTCCGCGTGGATTTTTTTCTAGTTATATTTTCTTTAGGTTTAAACACCAAGCAGTTACATGCTTTAAAAATAAAAATTATAAATATATTTTTTATTTCTAAAAACGCTCTTTTACTAGCAAAAATCTGCTTTAAGCAAAAATAGTAGTTTCGCCTAATATATATTTTTTTTAGAAATATTATATTTGATCCCCTAATATAGTAAGATATTATATAGAAGGGTTGGCAACCCTAGCCGCGCCTGATGGTAAGCGACCTCCATAGCCTATGCCTATAAATGCTTGCCATACCAAAAATATCACTGGCACCGTTGCCAACCCTAATCTAATCCCCTACCCCATGGACCCCTGGATCCTTACTCACCAACAGAAACTTACTGTCATTAGCGCCAAGGATTAGAAACAGATTAAAGAAAACGCTAACCTATAAAAGTACTGTAAAAACAATAATTTTGTGTTATTCACTATTTAGTTTATTATGTGTTATTTTCCGCACCTGATAAAAGATACTTATTAATAAGTGTATTGCACAGCCTTGAAGTAAAATTATCTTATGTTTTACATGTCTAAATGGACATTATTATATCAAAGTATTAACAAGATAACCGCCTACTTTTCCTTTAATTTTGATTTTGAAGTAATCTTTTATCTAACAGTGCACAGTATACTGAGATTGTATCTTGTTTTAATATGAAACAATGTGTGATTTGTATAAATTCCTTTAGAAATAGTGACTTATAGAGAAACTCGCATGGAAAACACATTATTCACGCTTGACAGCACATTCGTTAATAATAGCTTAATGGTTTTACAGTTTAATTTTTCTTTATTTTTATTACATCGCGTAAACACGACTCATGCCTATTGCTAGTGTCAAAATGTCATTATTTTATAATCTACGTTTTACTGCACAATTTACGTTTCGCTTACAATAAAATAGAGTATGATAACAATGTAGCTTAATTAGCCGGAAGAAAAAGTATCGTTTGTAGCCAAGTATTACTTTATTGCTCTAATAATTGGTTAAGGCGTATCCTACTGTAAAAATAATACCATTTTTGTATTGAATTTACAGTTTAAGAAGTATAGTCATGAATCGTATGTAGTCGCATTAAATCACATTAAAATTAGATGTGTTCAGTTTAAGATTACGCTGTGTGTTTTTCATTATATATATAGCGGGACCACTTTCTTAGTTGAATATTTTGAGTGCAACATTTTTCTATGAAAGTATAAAATAGCAGAATTTCTGCATTAAATCCTGATCACATTATATTTGAAATACCTGGCGGGGTCCCGTCGTCTTGACGTATATAAACTTCCTTGTCTATGGTCTTTACTCAAGAAGTGTGTCGGGGTGTATAACCCTTTTCAGTATTAGAGTAGCGTTTCTTTCAAATACGAAGTCGATGCAAGTAAGTGCAAGTCGCGGTGCAGTAAGCTAAATGTAGATCCACCCGAATGTCATTCTCATCATCAGCCTATTAATGTCCCCACTGCTGGGGCACAGGCCTTTCTTATGGATAGAATAGGGAGATTGGGCCATGACCCACCACGTGGGCCCAGTGCTGATTGGCGGGTGCTAACGACAGTAGATGCAGCCGGGACCAACGGCTTAACGTGCCTTCGGAGGAACTCGAGATAGAAGATTTTTCGTCACCCTCATATGTCATTCTCATTCACTGCTAACTTGACAACCGCCACAATGTTTGAAATGCACTATAATGTTTTTCCATCTATCATGCATTTTCTCTTTCAGAATGTGCTAACGAGTGGCGTGACGAGCGGTCCTACGGGTAAATCCGCGCAGCCGGCGACCTGTCTGCTAGTGCTGCTTCTGTCAGTAGCATTGGTGGCTTTACCTTCAATGAGGGAGGAAGTGCGAGCGCCGCGCAACGATCAATCGCCCGCCGCCACCGCCGTCACTAGGGCCCTACTCTCCGCCAACAGTAAGCATGCTTTAATGATAGTTAGAACAGGTTAATTCCGCTCTGTTTGTCGCTACTTTCTATCAGGGAGGAACGATAAATCGCCCGCCGCTACCGCCGTCACTAGGGCCCTACTCTCCGCCAACAGTAAGCATGCTTTAATGGTAGTTAGAACAGTTAAATTCCGCTCTGTTTGTCGCCACCTTCTATCAGGGAGGAACGATAAACCGCCCGCCGCTACCGCCGCCACTAGGGGCCTACTCTCCGCCAACAGTAAGCATGCTTTAATGGTGCTAGTACAGTTAAAATCCGCTCTGTTAGTGGCGCTGCCGTCGAGGAGGGAAGAGCAACGATCAACCACCCCCGTCATTGGGGCCCTAGCTATTCTCCGCCAACAGTAAGTTTACTTGTATGCTTATTCCTTCTTTCAGTCTTTTTCACCACTTAACCTTATAGGAGGTCATTTATGACCTGTTGAAACGTTTTTTTTCCTTGGATTTTACGTACAAATGAATGAAGCGAACGTATGTCACTGATGAGCACTGTCGCACTTTTTTAGCTCCACTTGACCGCACTGTGTCGGGAACGACACGAGCACAGTTCGTGTTCCATATATTTGTAATTCATTGGTTATTACCGAATTGTCTGCTTTCAAAAATATATACCTTTATTACCCTTACATAAACCTTTTTAAAATATACAGGGCGTCCCACGGCTACCTCACACGGAGGGAAAGTATATTAAATATTGAAGATAGGACATTTTACTGAAAGTAGACATCATTTTATTTTTAATAATAACTAGAACTGCATTGGGAATCAAACTCGTGAAATTTTGAAAAAAATAACACGGCATATTTTATGATAACCATCGAAAGGGGTAATCATAATCATTATTTTTTGCTAAATAACATAGCATTTTAAATGAAAGGAATGTGAAATACGTGATGAAAATAATAAAGTGATACACAAACTGTAGTACGTATGCATTTCTTTTTTAACTCAGTTACAATGCGACTGGCAGAAATTTGTAATAATAATAATTAGAAAATGGAACATACATTTTCAAGTGCCTGTTTTTTTTTTGTTTTGTGAGTTTCATTTTCATTTATTTGCAATTTTTTGTTAGTTTACTTACCATGGCTTATCAAAAATCTTTCTCTATCTCTATCTTTCTTTCATTATTTAAACACATATCGAGAAGGTTTATCCCTATCAGTATATCTTTTGCGGTACCACCGCTAAGCTAATGATAATATGTCTTTGTGGTTAATAAAGTAAGCTTACATTAAATCTATTTTATTTTGATGCGCCATGGTAAGTAAATTAACAAAAAAATGCAAATAAACGAAAATGAAACTCACGAAAAACAAAAGAACACAGGCTTGAAAATGTATGTGTTCCATTTTCTAATTATTATTACAAATTTCAGCCAATCGCATTGTAAGTGAATTCAAAAAGAAATGCATACGTACTACGATTTGTATATCACTTTATTATTTTTATCACGTAATAAGACATTCCTTTCATTTAAAATGCTATGTTATTTAGCAAAACATAATCCATATGATTAACCCTTTCGATGGTGATCATAAAATATGTCGTGTTTTTTTCGAAATTTCATTTTGAGTTTGATTCCCAGTTGTAACAGGCGATTTTTTAAAAAATCTGTAAATGCAGTTATAGTTATTATTAAAAATAAAATGATGTCTTCTTTCAGTAAAATATCCTATCTTCAATATTTAATGTACTTTCCCTCCGTGTGAGGTAGCCGTGGGACGCCCTGTATATAGCTCAAGTATTTAAAAGGCCAAGTGAAGTGCCGCCATCACAATGTATACAACCTCACTAAATGCATTTTTTGAGCAAATTTGTTGAAAAGGAATTTACTGGACTGCTTGTATGAAACCATGTTTCATACCAAGCTTGTTTCATCGGGGTGCCAAGATGAATTTTATAACAGCGAAATTCTACCAATTTTTATATACATATTATGTGAATAATTTATAGCAATTAACGAAGCCAAGTTTTAGAAAACAATCTCGCGTTATTTACTATAATGTTTATGGAGTCCATAAACAGATAAAAAAGATATTCATCATTCTGTTGTATATTTCAATAAAAAAATCTATATCAAAATTTGGTCATTATTCATTATTAATGCAACCTCTGGCATTAATTTCAACTCATTATATTTGGGAGTTATAAAATTAATGTAAATCAAAGAAGAAAAATAAATATATAAATAAGAATAAATAATCAAATAAAAAAACAAGAATGAGCTAATTCCTGTCATCACACTCGAGCTTCAGAAAGTTTGTTAAAACTCATTTCTTGCAAATGCAAAAATGCAAAAAAAGGATGTCAGAAAGCTTGCGGATGCAGAAAGGCTGGGTTAAAGTGCTCTGTAATATGCACGAATTGTAGCGGTACCTGTGGTAACTCGCAAGTTCCATCACCAGATAGCGATGATGAAGAAGAAACGGAGACCATAATTGTGCAAACATATGATGAAATCGAGAACGAAGAGGATAGCGATGAAATTGATACTCCCATCGCGGATGATGTAGATGAAATACCGGTCTGTGACGTTTCGATTGGTACTACACCTGGTCCATCGAGAACAACAAAGCATGTGGATTAGGCCTATTGGGAATACCACATTAAAAAAAATGCGCCACTTACTCTATCTCAAGGTGGTGTGGAAATGAGTTTTTTTGGCCAAAATGCGCGTTGGAGTACACTTTGCGGCGCTCGTACGCCAAAACTATTGACTTTATGAAAAAGAGGTAGATACATAAATTGTAGGCAATTAATTGTCTCTAGTTTCATCTTGTATATAACTGTTTTTATCGTAAAAGTCGGAATTCGGAAAGAGCACCTCAAAATTTATAAAATTACCAATTTTCAAAACTCCCGGAAAGCTTTCCAGGTACCCACTATATTTCTCACCAAATGACTGTACTAAATAGTTAAATTGTTGCTTATATTTATATTTGGTACCCACAATTCGAACGCTTATCTATCACCTAAGAAAATAAAGTTAAATAGCTATAATTTCAAAGGCAAACTGGGGCAGTTTGTCGCACTCACGATGTCGGTAAATAATCTTTCAGTCTCTATAATATAATAAAAGAAACTTTCCAATCCTTCTTTTTACTAACGTTTTTGTAGAGTTATTTTTAAGTAACGAAAAGCATGTATACTTTTTGAAACCGACAGAATTTCGTCGCCATTTCACGGCCGGTCAAGCATGACTGTGCGAAACCCAATGAAAGTAACAATATCACAGTGCAATGCAGATTCATTTGTAATTAAATTCACTTTTGTGAACATCTCCAGTAAAATGTACCTTATTGTCAGTAAATTAAAAGTGAATGCCCACAAAAGTATTCGTAAACCCTAGATCTATAATGGGTAATTGCGAGAAGTCTCAATGATGGCAAAAACAGATTTCGTAACTTGTTGCCGTCTCCGTTCTGTTAAGCTTGAATTCACGCGGTCATCGACCTGTTATATAAATTTGGCAATTGATATTTTTTACGTAATAAACTTTTTCTGAGCGAATCGATTACACACATTTGTGACAAAATCCACAACATGCTTTCTGTATACATGGATACATCAATTGGATTCGGGGCCCTCTTCTTTTAAAGTTAACTTTCGATGCCTTGCATGACAGCCAGTTAAAAGCATGGAATTATAGTTCTACGCGGTGCCAAATGTGGCATATTAATAAGAGTAGATATTGGAAATTATATTCATTATGACGATGCGACAAGAAGACAGAATGTCATTTTAAAGGAGAAAATCCTTATACATAAAGTTGGTTTATGAATTTTTGGTAGCTTTTCTTAACTACGTTAAATGTGCAAATCTCAATTTCATGTTATTTATATATTGTTTTAAACTTTCATGGTCACTAACATTATAGCTATTAACGGGATTGTTACCATGTAACTTGTTTTTTATGAGTCTCCGATATTTCGACACTGTTGCAAGCGCCATGATCACGGAGTAACTGTTCATGTTATTTACTTAAAGAGTAAGGTTCTACTTTATTTACCTTCCAAAAATTTTTATGCAACGAAAACCATCCACATTCCAAATAAATATTACTCAATTTCACTAACAAACGTTTTCTTCTTCTACAGAAATGGCTCTTGACGAGACCGTGATCGATGATGGCGAATTCAACATGGAGGAGCTGATAACCTTCAACCGTCCCCATTCCGACCACGACTACCAAGTGGTGAAGACCCTGGAGACACAGAAGACCACCCTGCCCAGCGGCTACGTAGACTTGCCCATCGACGAGGACTGGCCACCTAACCTCAAAAAACGCATGAAAATGACAGATGATGGGCCTTACTTGGCCCCTATCGTAAAAGAAGAGAACTACGAACATTATTACAAAATAGATGCCAAGATTCGACCGGAGGACGACGCTTTGAACATCGGCGATGCAAACTTTTTCACCAACACACTAATATCGACGGGCAGGAAACTGGGCGAACTTCTCGACGCTCTCCCCCCCATTCCGGTCAAAAACGAGGATATCGTCATTGAAGAGATCTCTGATTTTGACACTCGCAACAACAGCACCGAAGTCAAGAGTTTCGTAGTCAACGGCACCGCGAGTGAATTCTAATTTTAAATACCACTGACCATCAATGAAATTGACCCACCTCTTTGTTACATAAAAAAAAATAAATGCACGGATTTTTATGTTGCATTTACCTGTGCACGGATTTAATATGGCTTAGGAATATTTTATATATCACTCGGATAGAGTGCAGGTAGAATAATTCTATTAGGGTTTAAAAACATGTTATTCGAAAATAAATAGGTTGGTCGATTTCTTTGGTGACCAGTATTATATTTCTTTCAATTTACTTTACTTAGAACATATCCTTTATTTTTTATTTCTATATATTACTTGTTACTTCGTTTCAGATGAATATTTTATATAAATTATGATTTAATAATATTTTACAAATAACCGTGAACATGGTTACGATGAAATTATTCCTTTAGTCTTAAGTTTTGCAACTGATTCCGTTACGAGGAATACAGCCTACCCTTAATTGATAGGGCGTTATATTAGATTTAGTTTTTACAATACAATCGTGATGATTTTATTGAAATTTAGGTTAAGTAAATGGAGGTGAGCTCTGATTGTAATGTCAGGTTACGAATGAATGTTGTTGAGTATTTATTATTTGAGAATTCTAAATTAATATATATATGAATCAGATATATTCTTATCAAATTTCGTGCTTTGTTATGCAGTTTTTAGAAGTAAGCGAGTTTGATTAAGGCATTTTCATGTTACAATTTTGACTTTGGTGCAATTACATATAAAGTGATTTCAGTGTCTAGTTATTTTGTTAATAAGTGTATACCGTATGAAATACAATAAGTTCGTCTACTGTTCTTAATTGGAATGTAACTTCGGCCATTGTGTTGGGATCATTGATATTGGAATGCGACGTTAGTTCGAATAAATTGTGTATGGTAATTGGTCTTTTACTGTCCCAAACTTATTTAAGGCCGCGTTTGATACATAATTAAACGTGACTATAGTTAAAATACTGTATAGTGTAGCTCCCAGGGCGTTAAAAACATGAAAACCTCGAACTTAAGATACAGTGAATGAAATTAAATTTCTAAATGGAATGTATAGCTAGCTACTAATATATATAAAAAGTTGACCGATTAAAAAACTGATCTGATTTTTTGAATGAGCGTGCCTTGCGGTAGTATCAAACACACACACACAGACACATATACAGTGGTGGTCACATAATTAAAGGCTCTCCCTAATTGACCACAAAAAACTTACTTAGGGTCAATTTATACTAGCGTAGAGTCGAAGCGCATCGAAACGTTAAATTCTTCACAACTAAAGCGAAGTTGCACGAATGCGCGAGAATACGCTTTTATCAGCAGCAGTGTTATTGCTGTAAATACGTTAATAAAGTTTGTGTTACGTTTCCATAGTGAGCAGTGTCTAAACTACTAACGAACACAACCATTTTTTGTCCCACATTGTAAGAATATAACGTCGTGTATGGTTTAATAACAATTAAACTGGATTAAATAGCAATTTTAGGTAATGTTAGTTTTTTACCACATTTTTCTATGTATTTGACGTAACATTGTTTTATAGTCAAATTAATTAACTTGGAAATTAAGTGTAGTGGCGCCATCTGTTGTCGAATATTTGAACTTCAAGAAGGTGTGAGAAAGAAAATATTCTCAAACTTTCTTGAATATCCTAGAACCTAATTGCTCACTACAAACCACTCCTCAATGACAATCAAAACAAAGTTTACAACGTTATAATGAACCGGATAAATAACAACATTGGTGGAATTATTTACCAGGAGGCACCGGTAAAACGTTTTTAATAAATCTAATACTGGCGAAAATACATGCTCAAAAACACATCGCACTGGCTCTAGCATCATCCGGTATCTCAGCCACACTTATGGAAGGAGGACGAACTGCCCATTCTGCCTTACCGAACGACAATTCCCGGTATGTAAAATCTGGATGGGGTCAACTTCTAAAACAAGCTAAAATTATTTTCTGCCATGGGCAATGCCAAGGGCAAACTTTAAAATATTGTGGCATCAACCTCAAAGAATCCTGCTTCTCTCACGGTCAGCTATATGTAGCTTGCTCGAGAGTAGGAAATTCGAATTTATATATTATTATAGATATTAACGGGATTGTTACCATGTACCTTGTTTTTTATGAAAACAATATATCGAATTTATATATATACATATATACCCCGGATAATAAAGATGTAAATAATGAGAAAATGTTTTCAATTATTTTTTTTACTTTTTACGTCATTTTATTTTTTTATTTCAACTACCACGTAATCTCATATCAATTCCCGAGCGAAGCCGGCTATCATAGCTAGTATCTAATAAAATTATGTACTATCGACTCGCTTGTTTGGGACGTGTCATATAATTACTAAATAGCTTGGTACTAAATATATCTTCTAATGGTCAATTCGTACCAGCGCATTGAAGCATAATTCCGAAACTGGAAACGTAACATGACCCAAATCTAAGGTCAATTGCTAAATAATAAAAGGCTAGCTATCTCTAGCCAAAATAACTTGGAAATGACATCTAGTACTTGTTTAGAAACAAGGAACTGAACTATACGTAGTTTTGGTAATCCTAGCAAAATCATTATGCGTCGTTATGATAAAGATTGCATAACAATATTGTGATAATGTAATTTGTCGGTTTATTCTAAAGATTCAAGATAAAGGCTGTCTACTAAAAACGTGGTTGAGAGCTAACTTATTAGAAGAGCGATTAACAGATTCAGCTCTTCTAAAAATTCACCTGGAAATAGTACCAGACGTCTCAAGTATTATCACTCGATTCGCAAATACAAAAAGATGACTTCCTGTTTCTTTTATTAGTAATGTATATAAATAAAACCGTTTAAAAATAAAATTGTGTCTTGTGAAATAATGTTTATTTTATTCCAGATACCTATTATTAGGGTTCCGTACCTCAAAAGGAAAAAACGGAACCCTTATAGGATCACTTTGTTGTCCGTCCGTCCGTCTGTAAAGACCGTTTTGCTCAGGAACGCGTGGAGGTATCAAACTGTAATTCATATCTAATACTCAGGTCTACTGTCTCTTGGAGCTGTAAAAAAATCAAAACTTCTAAGCCAAAGCAATCAAAAAATACAGCCGTTTATGCCGCAAATTTTTGAAACTTGCACGGGAATCAAAGCCTACAGGGTACTTCCCGTGAACTGAGAATCTTGAAATTTGGTACAAAATAACGTCTTATAGTACAGATAAAGGAAAAATTTCGAAACTCGTAATTTTTTAGTTACATCATATAATAAAAAATATTTTTGAAAATTCAGGTGTGTACGAAACCTTCGGTGCGCGAGTTAGACTCGCTCGCTTTGTCTTATTTAGTAATGTATAAAATAAAATTGTGTCTTCTGAAATAATGTTTATTTTATTCCAGATACCTATTTTTAGGGTTCCGTATCTCAAAAGGAAAAAACGGAACCCTTATAGGATCACTTTGTTTTCCGTCCGTCCGTGCTTCCGTCTGTCAAGACCGTTTTTCTCAGGAACGCGTGGAGGTATCAAACTGTAATTCATATCTAATACTCAGGTCTACTGTCCCTTGGAGCTGTGAAAAAATCAAACTTCTAAGCCGAAGCAATCAAAAAATACAGCCGTTTATGCCGCAAATTTTTGAAACTTGCACGTGAATCAAAACCTACAGGGTACTTCCCGTGAACTTAGAATCTTAAAATTTGGTACAAAGTAACGTCTTGTAGTACAGATAAAGGAAAATTACGAAAAACCGTATTTTTTTTAGTTACATCATATAATAAAAAATATTTTTGAAAATTCAGGTATGTACGGAACCCTCGGTGCGCGAGTTCGACTCGCACTTGGCCGTTTTTTTTATTTGTGTAGTTTGTCATCCCCTCCAAAATTTCAGGCTGCGACCGCGCCTGCTGTGAAGTTGGCTTATTATGACTACAAGTAGATGAAGTTAGTTGAATGAATCATATACAAATTTTCTTCGCGGTATTGGTAATTTCAAATTTTATTGAGACAACTTAGCGGTCGCAGCGATCGTTCTCCTTCTCTCTAACCTCCATGGTAGGCATTAATACATAGCTTTCCCCTCTGTCGCATTGGGCATACTCACGATATGTGTGCATGATATGGCAGTGTATTGTGTCATTGTTTAAGAGTGTTGTAGCTACAGTTTTGTTTCTTACGCATTTACTTACGTTAAGGCATTTGTGTGCATATTCCCCCCTCAAAAAATGACAGAATGATTTGGATATTATTATGCCGCTATGGCTACTCCCTTCAGTGTTGATTTATGTTTGATACACTTAGACTCTGCGCTAGCATGAATTGCCCATAGGATTGAATGTCTTCAATGGGGTTTATTGGACGTAAAATTGTATCATACTGACTCATACTTAATGTTGCATTTATATCATTGAATTAGGGCCGATTCACACCGGAATGACAGCGGCCGTAAGCGACACACTTTCAGTATGAAATAAATGTACAAGTACTTATCTACATACATACCTAAAAAACTAATATACGACCGCGGTGGCGCGAGCAGGCATCAACGCGCGAGCTGCGCGACTTTTTGGAGCTTTTCAAGCGATAATTGTCTTTTTATTTCACACTAAAGTGCTCACCTGCTTAGAATTACTAAGTAACTTTTCAAGAATAATTTCTTACCCAATAAATTCGGGCCTCCATAGCCGAGTGATTTATACGCCGGGTTTCATGGTGTCCTACTCGAGAGGTCCCGGGTTCGAATCCCAATGGGGGCAGATGTTTGTGTGATGAATACGAGCATTTGTGCTCCAGTCATGGTGTTTAATATGTTTTTCTATATAAATATACTTATATATGTACTGTATAATAATATGTATTCTATCCGTTGCCTTAGTATCCCATAATACAAGCCTTACAGTGCTTACTTCGGTGGCTAGCTAGCAAGGGCGGATCAAGTCATGGGGGTCATGACCCCCCCCCTGGGCTGGGTACAGATGGACGAAACCCAGGGGGATTTTATTTAAGTACTTTCAATATTTAATATACCACGACTATATGACCCCCCCTGGAGCCAAGGCTGGCTATATGACCCCCCCCTGGCGCCAAAGCTGGATCCGCCCTTGCTAGCTAGGCTGATTGGCGGAAATATTTATTATTATTTATTAAATGAAACCATGTCTATGGCAACAGCTTTTTGTTAAAATACAGCCTAGGTCCCACTGCTGGCGCTCAGGCTATTTAAATTTATGGAATAGGGAGAACGGCCCACTACGCACCACTCGTGCCCTGTGCGGATTTGTGGATACTAACAACTGCTTAAGCAGCCGACCAAGGACTT